AACTAGTGAAATTAATCGATGCATTATATTTAACAAATGAAATTTTACCAATTTTCGCCACTTTCGAAATGTTTTTTTTCTGAATAAATTATACTTGACAGCAGTGATATAGAATACTAATTATCATTGGACTAGGCAGATAACTCTTAAGCTTTATTTCATACAAAAACAAGGATACTCATAAATAAAACCGTCAAAAGAACAGTTTTTTTTTAAATGTAATTGTCGCCTCTCTTTCTAACGCTCAATGTATTCCAAATGTCTTTAATTCGATACCAATTTTATTTATAGAAATACATTAGTAGAACATGTTTTACAAAAAGAAATGCGTTTGTTACAATCAAAATGGCAACGGTGCTGTTACTATTACGTTGGACTAGTTTTTAATGAGTGTTGTTGACATGTAATTGAAAGTTCAGCACAAATATGTCGTCTTCTGGAGTTCTCCCATTCATATACACGGCAGGTTACAACACCGTCTAACTGTTGCCTGTTGCCTCGATCAAGGTTTTATTTTCGTTATTATTTCTTCAGGGTCTGAGATATTTTAAGATTGATTACAGCAAGGGAATTAATTTTCCCTTCTTACCAAAGTTTTATAACAAACTATTGGTGTTATTACAAGAAGGATCAATGATTATATGGGTGATTAATATGTTATTTTATGAAATTTTAGAACTCAACTAAAGTTTTTTTTTCAAGATGGCTGCCGTTTCCATGGCAACAATATTTTCAGAAGAGTCTCTGGTACATGCAAATATTTTCCCTTAAGTATCAAACTTATGCATACACAATTTTTTTTTTTAAATGGTTTTAAATTTTAAAAAAATTGTTCCCGTTTTTTTCTGGAGCCTACCCCCTAAACTGTAAAGAGCACTTAGCGTACAGAAATGTTTTAAATAGCTTTTAATTAATTTGCTGTTTCGTGGTTTCACCGTGCCTGGTGCCTCGTCATGGGTCGAAATTTGTCGTTTCCGGTGGTAGCCAATATTGTTGACCCCTCCACATCCCCCCTTATAACCATGTTCACAGCATGTGTTGATGAAAAAAACTTTTTAAAAATACAAGCTGTACTTTCAGGTAATTATAATAAAATCTAACATCTATGCAGTCACAAATATTATTTTATCACTTTTTCCATAGTTTGGTAGAAGTTCATCAAGGTAATAGAACTGTGCTGATCGAAACAACGGGTTAACATATTGATTGATTATCTGTAGAGTAATTATTCTCAATGTCGCCATAATATTATTCTAATTCTCTTTCCGCAAATAACATGTCACTTCTCGTCTACAGTGAAAGTGTGATTTCTAAATTATTAGTTCTCAATGTCTACTTCTATGTAGTGTAAAAAATGCAATGGTACTTGTTTCTACATTTACATTAATTAAAAAGTTAAAATTTCATTTTAAAAAAAGGGAAAAAAGGGAAGCAACTTTGTAAACGTCGACACTTTACTGTTTCATTCTTTGTTATCTTCCCTGAAAGTTCATGTCAATTTCGTCAACTACTTAATTTAAATGTATAACTGGTGAAATTAATCGATGCATTATATTTAACAAATGAAATTTGCCAATTTTTGCCACTTTCTGATTAAATTATACTGGACAGCAGTGATATAGTATACTAGTGATTATTGGACTAGGCAGATAACTCTTAAGTTTTATTTCACACAAGGACAAGGATACTTATAAATAAAACTGTCAAAAGAACAGTTTTTTTTTCTGTATTTGTCGCCTCTCTTTCAAACCCTCAGTGTATTCCAAATGTCTTTAATTACCAATTTTAAGTATAAAAATAAATTGATAGAACATGCTTTATAAAAAGAAATGCGTTTGTTACAAGTAAAATGGCAACGGTGCTGTTACTATTACGTTGGACTAGTTTTTAATGAGTGTTGTTGTCATGTAATTGAAAGTTCAGCACAAATATGTCGTCTTCTGGAGTTCTCCCATTCATATACACGTCAGGCTAAAACAACGGTTTTATTGTTGGCTATTGTTTCGATCAAGTTTTTATTTTCGTTATTTTTTCTTCAGGGTCTGAGATATTTTAATGATTGATTACAGCAAGGGAATTAATTTTCCCTTTTTTAACAAAGTTTTATAACATAAGCGATTTATTTGACAACAAATAGACATTATTTCCTGTAAACCTTCCGCTCTATTATATTATACCCACTGTATTGAACACATATTCCGCTGATAGAGAATGTTTGACAAACACTTTACATTCATTGTTATAATCTAATCTGTGGTGTTGTAGAATTAGCTTGATAAAACTAATTGCAATATAAAGTTTTCAAATGACCACGCACATTTGTAGTTTAACGAAAAAGTAATTTTTTTTGTTACCAATACACCAGCTTTAAAAAGTAGATCAATCTACAATCTGCATTCGATTGTTTAGTGAATTAAGTAAATACATTTTTTAGTTCTGAGACGTTTTCTTTATTTTTCCTTCATCTTGTTTGGAATTCGGGTTGAAAATAACGTCCATAAAAATTCTAAAATAGCTAAAAAAATTCCAGCTTTAATTACGTCACTACACGTTTATGTTGGCATTATGCCAATCAAATCACTACGCATGTAAAGTTAAGAACCACTGGTGTAAGTGTTTGCAGTGAATTGAAGTTAATGAGGAATTAAAAGGATTTTGGTCCTGGCGATGGGAGAAATCTGATATAAGTATATGTATAGAAAGAAGCATTGCCTGTATAATCAAACCATACTTGTATGTATGCCTATATTTTAAAGTGATACTCGTCCTGTCAAGCGATTTTTATAACATCATGGCGTAGCTTTTGACATCCTCCAGTCACAACATTTGGTAGTGCAGCTATAATAAATACTGAGAATATAAGCAAAGGGAGAGTGCTTTCAAAATATACATAGGCCGCTTCGACACCTTCTTTACAGATGGTATTTTGTGTACAGAATTATACGGCTTCTTTGATATATTTGCTTAAAGCAATGGCGTGTACTGAATTCCGCGAACTGGCGCAGCATACAAAAAAAAAACGACAGGAGATTTACATGTCAGGTGACATCATTCAACGTTTTCCAATAAATCACATGGACAGGAGAAAAATCGAAAACAAAGTCTGACGCAATATTATGTGTCAGCGTCGTGACCAGAGCATGTGTCACACGACCTTGTGTTGTAGGCTATCATGGCGTCAGTATATGGTGCTTTCTAAGGGATTCAATTTGACAAGATATGTACTCCTAGATGGTGTCATCTTGACAAGGAATGTTCATACACTCTAATAGTGTCGAATCGACAAGGAATGTGCAAACACACTCTGCTGGTGGCAGAAATATTTGCTTAAATTATTATGTAGAGCCCAGTGTATTTTCCACCAACAACATACCTTCACCAGAATGGATGTTATATAACATTTCTTTCATAGATTGTAACATTGGCCTATACATCATTATGATAACACCCCCCCTCTCCTCCGCCCCATCAAACGCACACTAACGACCTAATTTGGTGTTTTGATTTAAATAATCAACAATTTATAGAAATATTATCACTTTAGAGAAAATCCGTTGTCAAAGATGCTAATCCAATCGTTGTTAAATTAAATTAATAATAATAATATTTTCTTTTTTATAAAATATAATTGGATAGCCAGTGTCAATATTTATTGGTACTGCTATTTTGAATAATAAGTAATATAAATAAGAATTTAAAAATTAAAAAATAAATGTTTTTAAAATTGCTCCAAACCAAGCTCATAACCCAAAATGTAACAAAATTACCTCCCACTTTTCTTTATTAAATAGCATACGTGAAAAGTCTATTAAAATACAAAAAAATGGAAAGAATTTTACAAAAAAAAAAAAAAAAAAAAAAAAAAAAATTAAAAAAAACCCACTTCGTGTATAATGTTGTGGTTATCAAATTATTGTTTACACTAATCTCTGTCTGAAATTTAAAGGGACGTAAACTATGGACACATTCTTGGTGCTCATTAAACATAAGCACAGTAAAGATTTTTGTATTAAGAAAAAAAATACCTTTAATGAGAAAAGTTTTACAAAGTGATTAAAATACAATTTTCATGACCACATTAATATAAAAATAATATTTTTTCTCAAATTAAAACCTTCTTTACAAAAAGTTCAATATTCATCATATTTTGTTTGGCATGATTGTAAACTGGATGTCTCATGTATTTGATAATAGTATTTTGCGTCATCTCGAAACATCCACAGCTTACAAATAGCGTTACAGATGACGTGGTAATCTGTAACTAAACGGTATTTTTGTGACCTACTTTTTATTACTTTCTGTTGTTTTTCTCATTTTGCAGTTTCTTTAACACTAAAAAGCCTACTACTTTTTAAATTGATAAAACAATTCCCATCATATTTTCAGTATTTAATAATACTGTAATAATAAAACTTTTGTTACGAGAGAATTCTGTAATGGCTTTTAATTTTTTTTTGTGCACATACTAAAAAGTGCCATATTTCGGAACTTGTAGAATTCTGACCAGCAGCTCTTTCAAAAAGTTGTGAAAAAAGTTTTAATATATACTGAAATATAGGCCTTGTACCTTTGCTTGCTAAAAACGCATAAACAAAAAAGCAGTAGCGTTTTTAAAAGTACTGAAAAATTCAAAATGGCGGAAGTTTTTTTTTTCGGGATCCAATGATATTCAAAATTATTTTTAACCCCATTTTGCTGTTTGTTACTTACTTTCATGTGCAAAACATGGTAAAATAGTCTAAAGACTGTAGATCTTAAATTGTATTAAATAGAAAAAAAACGCGCTTATCCCCTTAAACCAGTCATCTTATTTATCCAAATATTCTTAATAAAAGTAACATAAGTAAAAATATTTTAAAAAATCAGCTATATATATATAAATATATAAATATATATAGATTAAAAATTATCGTTGATATAGAGGAAGATATATATATATATATATATATATATATATATATATATATATATATATATATATATATATATATATATATATATATCTTGCTCTATATCAGCGATTTACCAAATGTCTCAAACAATGTAAAATAAATTTCAATGATGCATACACTTCTTCTATTAATTTTTTATATTTACTGTCCCTCTACATAAAAAAAGATAAAGCGTCTTAATAGAACACATAAGGAAAAATAATAAAGAACACGTTTTGTTTTTTCAAATTAATTATTTTCTGGGCTCCAAGCCAACCTTTAACTTGTCAAGCCAAAAATAATTCCACCAATAGCGATGGTGATTCCACCGATGATGCTCTGGATAAAGGAATAACCGATGTTGGCCACTGCAGAAGCTGGTTCGTATTCTTTGGTGCCCCAGATAATAATTCCAATCAAGATAAACACAACTGAAAAGACACGCAACTAATTTGTAAATATAAATATGTGAAGATGTACTTACTTATATAATTTTGTGGAGGGTTGTGGGGGTGGGGGTTATCGTCCTTAACGAGATACTGATAGTGTTTTAAAGAAAATATATTCAGTGGCAGCATTGGGACAGTCGAATTCACAAATTATGAATTACTGAAAAGTAGAAAATAAAACAACTAAATAGCGGCGTATGATACGTCGCGGGTCGGCTCGTATATTATATTTGGAGTGAATTGTGTGTGACCGTGGAATACTTGGCCTACAGAACTGAACCGGTGAGCGATCAATCATCATAATTTTCATATTTTTTGGGTATTACTCACTAACTGGCGTGCAAGAATGAAAGAGTATGTAACCTGGGTGAATGCAACTGGAAGCTATGTGCGTTGATTGTTAGAACTCCAGATGTATCTCCTATTATTTCTGTGATTCTTAATATTCAAATCTAGTGTATTCATGCACTTTGTTGTCAAGTGCTGTATCAAACGGTAGACGTTTGAATACTGAAATGAACTTATTCTTTGTGGATTTAACAACTGTAAATGAAGATGTGAAATGAACCAGCTGTTTATCGTCTGTACCAGATCCTGCTGTGAGGGGGAGGGCGGGCAGGCTGTTAATGGGGTCCACAATCCGACCAAAAAGCAACAAACAATTTTTTTCTGCACCTTGATAGACTAGTGGTTATGTAAAAAACAAACAGATCTACTACGTCAGTGATTGTTCTACAGTAACTATTAAAGATTAATGCGTAGAAAAAAAACTTTATGAGTTGTAGTGTCAAACACTTTCCATTACTTATTTCTTCTGTAGGCTAATAGGAGTGCCCAAAAAGCTTATTTTAATAGTTTTGTGCAAAGGAAAAAATTCTTATCTTAATTAATATTACAGTAAGGCATTACTAAAGTATGACACAGCTGTAAAAAGGAATGTATTCAAAATTCTTAGTATAAATGAACAAAAATACATCAGAATAAAACAAACACGGGAAACCATTACACATATAAATATAAACCTACTATGTGTTTATTAAATATTTTGATCGGCTTGCCAGATACGAAGTTAATCTTTTCACAATTGTCTGCGTGTATGAATGCGGTATAGAGGTTTTTAAATCACGATTTAATCAGGCCCGAAAATAATTAGAGCATAATTTTGTGTGATTTATTGTCTCACGATGGATATATGCCTACTATGCAATGAAATCTGTTAAATTACTAAATTAGAAAATTGTTTTTTTTAGTTCTGCCACTGTCTAAACCGCTGTTACAGAAATAATTAAAAAGTCTAGAACTGCCAATGCTACTCACATGAAATAATGGAAGTGGCTGTTGAAATCAGACGAAAAGGAGCGCTCGCATCTTTTCCAGAAATTTTGTGAAAGAGATCAATCCCCGCCGCTGCTAAAGCAACAAAGCTAATTAGCATTCCAATTATGGCCATTGCTTCACAGGCCTTTATACTGTCTGGAATGGTAACTGAAATTGAAAAAAAAAACATTATAATAATACTTTATGAATAACATAAACTTAGGCTTACTAGCTGCAATGCTTGTCAAATGCCTGTCAAAATAAACTTTTGTTCTGTTAGGTTTTCAGTTCTCTATGTCAGTTCCTAAGGATACGGTTTCATGGCAGCAGTATGGTATATAAAATGGACTACACGTCATCCTAGTTGAGCACCCATGTATAAAAGGTATCATCAAAAACCCTTTATCTATCTCAATAGCTTATTTATGTTGAGTTACATAGAGAGAGATAAACTTAGCCAATTATTAACGTTGCACTGCGCTACATAAATCAGCATGTCCGCTGTCAATCGTATCCCACACCTATTTTTCATACCACTTACCTACTATATCAAATGACCCATATTGATAGTTGAGTGGTATGAAAAGAAAGTGTGGGATACGGTTGAGGGTGGACACGGTGATTTATGTGGCGCAGTGCCACTTAATTAATAATTGGCTAAGTTGAAGCCCTGCACTGGCCTCTGTGAAAAACCTGTCCGTTATTTGTGTGTTTATTAACCACTATATACCAGACACTGCCGTTTTTAGGAAATGTATTACTTTTCTAATTAAATGCCTAGATACAAATACGGACGTATGAGAAAATAACACATACCCTATCTCTAAACTTAACCCTAACCACAACCAAGCACAACCACAACTAAAACTAAATACAAGCGCAAACGCAAATATAAACAAGAACGCGAACGCAAAAAGAAACGCAAAAAGACTCGAAAGCAAACACAAACACAAACTCAAACTCAAACTCAAACTCAAACTCAAACTCAAACTCAAACACAAACACAAACACAAACACAAACACAAACACATACAAAATGCAAAATGCAAAATGCAAAATGCAAAATACAAAATACAAAATACAAAATACAAAATACAAAATACAAAATACAAAATACAAAATACAAAATACAAAATACAAAATACAAAATACAAAATACAAAATACAAAATACAAAATACAAAATACAAATACAAATGCAAATGCAAATGCAAATGAAAACGGAAACGCAAACACAAACACAAACACAAACACAAACTCAAACTCAAATTCAAACACAAACAATAACTCATATAATAAGGCAAACATAAACGCGAACATTAACACAAACTTAAACCCAAATATAAACGCATAGTCCTCACAGTATGGGCGGATCGTCAAATTGCAACCTGCCGGGGTGTAGGTGTACGTGCATAAAATAACTTAATAAACTTCTATAATACCCCATTTTATCCATAATCTATTGCACTCACTAAATCGAATGAGGGCACCATAGCATTTATGGAAAGGCCTTATCGCTAAATAGCACTCATTCGGGGCACCTGAAGACGCCCTGGATTCGATTTAGTGAACGACTATAGTAACCATTTTAAATCACAGGCAATCGCACTCTTTAAAACGAACGTATGCACTATAGCGCTCACAGGATAAACCCGTGTGCGAAAAAGTGATGCTGCACCCCAAGGCGCCGGCGGATTCAATTTAGTGAAAGACTATAAAACCCCATCTTATCCGCAAACGGAATTGTAATAGACTGTATTTGGTTAATTGTATTTGCAGTGAGACGTGTGTGAGAGTTGAATACCAGGCCAACGAAAGTGAATGCGTGAGCAATCAATCACTGTATATTTTGCATGCTTTTTGGAGATCGATCACTGACTAAAGGCAGGGAGTGAATGTAGGGCTATAAAATCGGGGTAAATAAGATGTTAGGGGGACCACATAGATGAATGCAAGGGGAATCTTATGTGTTTTTTATTAATCCAATATAAATAAATATATATATATATATATATATATATATCTATATATATATATATATATATATATATATATATATATATATATATATATATATATATATATATATATATATATATATATATATATATATATATATACATTATAAAACCAGTTTTTTTTCGTTGCCTTCTCCTATATTTTACATTATTAAATAATATTTGTTGTAGTAACTTCTTTTTTCTTATTAACGAAAAAAAAATACATATGAAAAACAACGATGGTGTCATTTTGGCGGCTGGAACGAATTAATTGATTTTCAATTAATGTAAATGGTAAAAACTTCTTTGGGATATCAGTAATTTGCCATACAATGTTTCGAAACTAATTAACATCTTATATTTTAGGGGGGAGGTAGTTTCTAGTTCAGCCACTGTATGTATCAACGTATTTTACAATAGGTATAGTGGTTTCAAAAAATATATGTTTAGAAAACAATAAATGAGTCATAAAATGAAGCGAGAGTGATCTCACATAAACTTTCTCATATCTTCTATGCTATAAATTTCAAATGGAATGTTTACCTGTAGCAGAATTGGTTGTGGGAAAAAAATCAAACTTTTGTTTGTGTTTACGTTTACGTTTATGTCTATATCAATGTTTCTCTTTGTGTTTTCCTGATGTTTTCCTGTATCTTTATCTTTATGTTTGCTGATGTCATTATGGTTGTTGTTCGTTAGGTTTAGAGTTATTTTTAGGGTTATATATCTTTTCTCAAACATCAATATTTGCATGTAGACATGTAATTGGAGTTTCAATATGTTAAAAAAAAACCCGGGTAACGCAGGGTATATATATATATATATATATATATATATATATATATATATATATATATATATATATATATATATATATATATATATATATATATTTATATTTATATTTATATTTATATATAAATATATATATATATATATATAAATATATATATATATATATATATATATATATATATATATATATATATATATATATATATATATATATATATATATATATATATATATATATATATATATATATATATATATATATATATATATATAAAGCAAAGTGATCAGATGCCGGATATGGTATTTCCCGGCACCACGGGCGCTACAATTTTGACAGGCTCTTGCCTTGGGGCAACAGAGCACGGTGGCCGATGCCGGTTGTCCACAAAGTCTATGAAGAGAGGGTCAAAACTGACCTCGACTAACTGGAGCCTGATAGGAGCTATATATTCGTAACTCATAAGGTCGTAAACCAACCCTCGGGAGTAGCAAAGAAAAAAAGATATATTCGGTAAAAGTCCGGAAGGGCTTTAGAAGTGATCGGTCCAAATTTTCCCTATATAAACATTGTTAATTTTGTGAAAATTGATTACTATTTTTAAAACAAATTTTAGGGTATTTTGACTATGTACATCTGGCTCATTTTTTTCCATAAACCTGTGTAAATGAAACGGTCTTATGGATAATTTATCGGCCAGTCTCTGTTGGCACAACGAGGGCTAAAAAGTGACCACGAGTTAAAATTGACCTTCTATGATATATATATATATATATATATATATATATAAATATATATATATATATATATATATATATATATATATATATATATATATATATATATATATATAAATATTCCCACGTAGGAAGCCTTTGAAAACTCTTTAGGTTGTACTTCGGCCCCATGGAGTTAGAAAAAAAATGGTGCTACCCACGGGAAAGTCCGGGAACAAAGTTTCAACAGACAGGAGACCATATTTCCTTATGTAAACATAGTACCGTTTTTGTACAAACAAATAAATACAGACATCTGGACGTACAAACCCAATCATAACTCTTGAGGTCGTAGAAATACACGCGGGGGTCACTATAAAATTGGCGTTATATTCGGGAAAACTTCGGAAGGGCTTTAGAAGTGACCGGTCCAAATTCTCTATATAAACATTGTTAATTTGGTGAAAAACGATGACTATTTAAAAACCAATGTTTAGGAACTTTGGCTCTGTACAGCTGGCTCACTTTTTGCATAGACCTGGGTAAATGAATCGGCCTTATGGATAAACTATCGGTCAGCTTCCGCTCGCACGGCTAGGGCTAAAAAGTGTCCGCGAGTGAATTTTCCTTTTATGAGATATATAAAAAAAACCTTTGCCGAACGACCCCCCTTGATATTTTATGAGGTCGTAGAAAAAACTCGCCACATCTGGGGAAAATTGGGAAACAGGTCAAAACTGACCAGTCGTATCTGCCTTTATAATCATTACAATTTATGTGAAAAACAGGATAATTTCAACAAAGATTTTAGGGTACATCTGTACATTTGGCTAATTTTTTGCATGCCGAACGGAAAAGTTGTCGGTCAGACTCTAAGCCCTCGATGAGGGCTAAAGAATGACCGCGAGTGAAATTCTCCTTATTTGAGCTATATATAAAAAAATATTTGCCTGATATTTTGTGAGGTCGTAGACCAACCAGGAAGAGTAACAAAAAAAACGGTTGGAATAAAAATAGTGGCGTTAGATTTGTCCAGATATTTTCTTATATAAGCATTGCAGCTTTTTGTGAAAAAAGTAAACAAAGACTACGTCATTCGGTCTATGTACAAGGAAAGTAGCTTTCTAAAGTACTTATTTTTCAAACAATTGTATACTATTATAAACCAAAACCGAAAATGACGAAGTAGCCTTTATTATTCATTTAAGTTAAAAATAAAGTTGTAAATTAAGGTAAGTATCCTAATTAAATTGTAGAAATTAATTTTAAAAGTCAATGTAATTTAAATTATGAGTTATACTATTAAGGGTGCCTCTGTAGTTCTAATTACCTTTCGAGTAATAAATTGCAAACATTCAATCAATTTCTCTAAAATTAGCATTACTGTTTAAAATCAAGCACTCCACATATCAGCCAATCACTAATTACTTATGCATGCAAATTGTCAAATGTTTTTTGAAAACCTAGGCGAAACTAGGCAGTATACCTAGTACTGTTTATAAAACATCCAAGTCACGGTCCATACATATACGTTTTTCACACAAAAATTTTCAGTTTATTTCTTTAATACATAAGTTTATTAAATAGAAATAGAATCGAGTAGAACAAAGAAATTGCGCGCTCATTGAACGTAAACAATGTGTGCATACAAAGAGTGTAAAAAATATCGTAATCGTTCAAATATTGTCACTATAACCATCGGTAATGCTAAATAATCTAAGTAAAGTTGATGAATTACTAGTAAACCCTGAAATCGTTTTTTTAAAAAAACAACCATTTTATCAATACAGACACAGTTTTCATTTCTCTTATTTACTATATTTGTAAACGTGTTTGTTATTCTAAAATTTGTGGTTGATATGTTTAGAATTTAGCACCCACAAAGAAAGACCCTACGGAATTCTAAAGGCAAGTAACATGATAAAAGCCATCTTACCCAAGCCAGGAAGATCAGCGTATTTAACGCACGCTAACTCTGAGCACACCTCCCATAGACCAAAACTACCTCCGCCAACTTTTGCCACCGACCATTCTGGTGTGGCCAGCCCTACAATGTGAAGTACTGCGCCAACAAAGAGAAGAACGATCGCAACAATAGCTCCAACCTGGACCGACATCCCTGTGTACGAAATAAAACTTATTTGAAATTCACAGTTTTGAACTAAATTTATAAGACATTTTCGCAATAAACAGCGCTATATAATTTACATCTTAAAAGAAAAGATTTACGCAACAAACCCGTAGAATGTAACCCGCAAAATGTCGCCTCAAGGAAATGAAATGAATTTTTCCTTACCAACAACTAAAATATTTTTAAGCAACTGCTTTGATTGGTTACTCTAAATTATCATCATCCAATCAAAGCTTTTCAGCATATATGTAGGCTACCTGTTTATGTCGATGGATGAAGTAAACAAACGTTTCCTGGAATTTCAGTTTTATTTTCAGCGCAACTCGGAAAGGATATTTTTAGGAGAAAAAAATAATAAGGAAACCACGATCCAAAATTTGGCACGTGAAATACAACATAAATATAGAACAGTGATCACCGACCCTCATTTTACATAATATTTCTCGGAATCGCACCCTTTTAATCATTTACAGCTATCACTTCGAAAATAAAACTTCGAAACTACATAATATAGAGGAATTTGCATTTTTTTATTTTCATTCGAAGCTGCAGAGCATTACATTGTGTCTGTAAGATAATATTTGAAAAGCGAGTTTCAACAATTGAAATAGCATAATGTTTAGAGGGATTTACAATAAAGAAAATTATTAACAGTGATATGAAGCAATGTCCTGAACTACCACTCTCATTGCAGTATAGTAGAATGCAGAATACTAAACCACCTTTAGCCCATCCTGTTACACAATACACGCAAGATCCCTGGCTGACGAAAAATCTTAAGCCACTGCACACGCCATTACAATATGTTAACTGGGCAGTTAATATTGTCCGTGACAATCTGGTACGTGTTCAACTATGGCTAACTGTGTTACCTGTGTTACCTGTGTTACCTGTGTTACCTGTGTAACTGTGAGGTAAGGCGGGACGGGACGGTTGGTGATCTCTAATGCAGATACAGAGATAGCTGTTACGTTGGTTGCACAAGCGTCACAAATCGGGAGAAGAGATGGGGGTAGAAGTGTGGGATTCGGACTTCTCCGGACGACACGATTACCAGAGGTCATACAAAAAAAAATTTACAGGCTAATTTGTTCAGAAAAAAATAAATATTTTCTTAGCTCACTTGACAAGTTTTAAACTTATAAACAGATTTTTTCTAGAGAAGCAAAATAGTAAATAAACGATAAACAAATGTTTTCATAGAGTGAATTCACCCAGTGTTGATGTGTATGCATGATTTGTTTTCTCTCTATATATGGTATATAAAAATAAAAGTCGATTGCGGTCTCACAACGTTCATCAAACTTTAGGGACTTGATTAGAACACTCCAGGGAAGGGCTCTGTAAAAAAAAAAATCATTTTTAAAATTCGCACGGGCGGTGTATATTTCTCAATATACGGTATATAAAAATAAAAGACGATTGCGGTTCGACGCAATTTATCCCGGTGCCATAAAACTTTAGAGAGTTGATGAATACTCCCGAGGAGGTTTCTGGGGTAGGAGAGGTGAATAGGGGTGGGTGGGTGGTGGGGCGGGGGATTTAATTTTGAATGGGCGGCCCCCAGAAGAATGCGATATTGCGCCCTGGTCTTTCCCGTGAGCGCTATGGTGAATACGTTCGGTCTAAACAGTGTGATAGACAATGGAAAGGATGGGGCGTTATAAACGCTAACCAAATTGAATCAGTCGTGTCCTCTGGCGCCCTGGTAGGGTGCGATTAGGCTGCAAATAAAAATGTCTGTTTCAGCCCCCAAAGGCTCACATGGGCCGCTGAGGACCATGTAATACGTTTTATTTTAATAATCAGAAAAATTAACCAATGTTAGATTATTAACTGGGATAATTCTTTTTGTCCGTAAAAAAAAATCAGAACAGTTTCGTCACTTTGCGAATTATGCAATTAGCATCTATTTTTAGATAACCCAGAAATTGAGATCGAGCATCTAAAAATAGACCATTAGTAACGCTAACATATTGAATCAGTCAGACTGATGTTTAAAACGCGTCAAATAATATTTTTACGTGTTAAATAACAAATCCTGTGCATTTGTGTCACTTTAGTGAATGACGCAACCTGTATCATTGTTAAAAGGATGCTATTTTAAGGAGCCAGGGGTCGTACGCCGCACCTATGCAGTAGTGTAATCATGGGGGGGGGGGCTCCTGAGAGCGGGCCTCTACGTCTCTGACACATGGGCGGTCACCGAAGTTTGTTCTACCATATTATTACGGTGAGTGATTAATGTAGACTCAAGGTTTTCATGCGGTAGTGTAGGTAAACCCTTGTCCTGATATTTATGATCCAAGCGCAGGCATTGTTTACATTTAAATAACTCATTTTTAGAAAAGAAGGTCACGCGTCTAAGATCATATGACTGGTAAAGCGTTGGTAAAATCCTTCTAATATATTTCGTCAAACTTTCTTCTATCCCCGCGACAACTTGGGGGGGGGGGGGTACGCTAGTATATATTATATATATATATATATATATATATATATATACAGAGAGAGAGAGAGAAAGAGAGAGAGAGAGAGAGAGAGAGAGAGAGAGAGAGAGAGAGAGAGTTGACACCTACATAACTAGAGTTTTAATACAGCTTATATAACGTCAGTAGACGGTGACACCCTGAACTACAGAATTGAGTGTCACCCAACCAAGCAAATAAACTGGTTGATTGAAAAAAGATTGATTGTTTGGTAATATTATTTATTTTCCAATATTAACATTTTTCTGGCAATTGACCTTCGAGCAAGTGCAGGGGCGTAGCGAGGGGGGGGGGGGCGGGGGGTGCGGACCGCACCGGGTGACACTATTTAGGGGGTGACACCAAGGCAAAAAATAGCAAATAGAGAAAAACTTGAGGGGGGGGGGGGGAGGGTGCAAATCGAAAGTTTGACGGGGGGGGGGTGCAAATCAAAAACTTGAGGGGGGTGCAAATCGAAAGTTTGAGAGGGGGGGGGGGTGCAAATCAAAAACATGAAAGTTTGTCCCCGGGAAGGGTCGCAACGCCTCTGGGGGGGGGGGGGGTTGACACCATTAAGTGCCGCACCGGGTGACACCCGACCTCGCTACGCCACTGGGCAAGTGGCATTTGGGTATTTGTCGCATTCGGGCAAGTGCCCATTCGGGAAAGCGACCTTCGGGCAAACGGCATTCGGGCAAGTGTCATTCGGGAAAACGTCCGGCTCCCCTTACAACACATAAGGTCCTCCCAATCAAACCCTAATCAGTATTTCTTTGCTTAAAATACCACACACTCCGTATCTATTTTGGTTATTTCCTCTACACTTTTTTTGTAGTATATCTACTGATAAAAGCCATCTTACCTGTGTCAGGAAGGTCACTGTTTTAACACTGCTAAACAGAACTCCCAAAGACCAGAACTAACTCGGCCGTTTTTTACCACCGACCATCCTGGCGTGGCCAGCCCTACAATGTGAAGCACTGCCCCAAAAAAGAGAAGAACGATTGTCACAATAGCTCCAACCTGTGCGGGCATCCCAGTGAACAAAATAAAACACTCTAAAACAATCATGAAACTCATTTTTGTATCGTAAAAAAAATTGATTGTTACGTAAATTACACCTTGAAAATAAATTTTAAAAGATTCAGCTTAAATAATGTACATCCCAAAAAGAGAAGATTTACGCAACTAACCCATAGTGTGTATCCACAAAACAATGCGTCCAGTGCAAAAATAAATATCTCTTCACCAGTCCCGGAAAATATTTTAGCTTTGATTGGTTACCGTAAACTAATCGATACAGATCGATTCATTGAGGAAAAAAAACGTTCCCTGGAAAATACGCAGACAGAAAATGTTTTTCGGAAAAATTACAAAATAAACCAAAAACAGACAGGAAATCAGATCTTGCATGAGTAATCTATATATATAACTAGCCGTCCCGGCCAGGCCCTGCTCTGGCTTCTGTGAAAAACCTTTCTGTTAACGACCATTACCTGTGTGTTTAGTAATCATCATAAACCCGGCATTGCCCACCCAAACCACAACCAACCAAAACCAAAACAACAAAACGCAAACATAACGCTTACACAATTACAAATACAAACGAAAACAAAAACCTAACAACAAACCCAACCACAACCACAAACACCAATACCAACACAAAGAAAAAACAAACAAAAAAGCAAACGAAAACAAAAACCTAACAACAAACCCAACCACAAACACCAATACCAACAAAAAACACAAAAAACAACGAAAAAGCAAACGAAAACAAACCAAATCCAAACGCAAAACCAACCAAAAACACAAATACAAACGCAAACAAAAAAACAAAAACAAAAACGAAAAAAGAAAGAACAAAAGCGAACCAAATCAAAACGCAACCACTAATGCAAACCCACCTAAACACAAAGAAAACACTAATGCGAACATAAACGCCCGGGGCGGAATCTCCTGTTTTAGCTTAATGAACGACTATAGTACCCCAACTTATTCATAGTCCTTTGCACTCACTTAAACGAACGCGCCTGTTTCAATTTAATGAACAATTTTAATACTCCAAGCTTATCCGTAAAATACCTACAACATTTGCACTTGATCAATCCCCGCTAATTATGTAATTATTTTTTTTTTTCCCAACACCAAAACAAAGTAATTAAAAAGTAAATTATTTTCCACAAAATGCAATGGTTTTATAAAGGGAAGTAATTTTGTTTTCCTAATTTATCAAAGGGAAGTAAGTGCCATAGGACTAAATAAAGACATAATTAGAATTTTTGTAAAAGATTATACTTTTTTAAAACTTGTGTTTAATGAACATGCCGACAATTATTACTTCAATTTGAAAAATGAAAATTATTTCCCAACACTTTCAATAGTAATTTTTTAGCTCATAAATTTAGACAAATGCGCACGATAATTTTCTAACACTTAAATTCATCCAAGACCAACGACAAATATATGCATTACATACAGAACTGAGCTTTATATATTAGATTCTCTTCTTGGAGACGCTAGAAAACACCAAGCTGTAAGCGCTCCCTACCACCCCCACCCCCACATGGTCTGGTGAGCTGTGGTTCACGCTAAATGTTTACAATCGTAGAGCCGGGTTTAGTGACGGCTATTGGGGGCAGATAATTTAGTTTGAAACGATTTTAAACGTAGGGGAGGTAACTAAGAGGAGGCTTCTTTCACGGGGGGGGGGGGAGGTGGGGGTTGGGGAAAGGAAGGGGGGGGGGGTTATCGTCCTTAACGAGCTACTGATATTGTTTTAAAGCAAATATATTTAGTAGCAGCATTGGTACTGTCGAATTAACAAATTATGCATTACTGAAAAGTAGAAAATAAAACAACTAAATAGCGGCGTATGATACACCGCGGGTCGGCTCGTATAACATAAACATACAACACTGACCACAGGCCCTCATATTCTAAGCCCCCCCCCCCTTCGAGTTGATATTCTAAGCCCCCCCCCCCTTCGAGTTGATATTCTAAGCCCCCCCCCCCCCCTCCCCCCTCCGAGTTGTATAATGAATATTAAACAACCTTTACCCAATCGATAATCACTGTAGTACTGCATCGACACCATTACCTTATCACACTATTTTCTCACCTTTTTTTCATCGTTCTGTAGATGTTCCTATCGGTACCAGAACTATCTATTCTAGTGCTGAACAAAAACTTTGTTCAACACGTAGATTGGTTGTAGAATAATTGATCTCAACAATGCC